AAAAAAAAGAAAAAAAAAAAAAAAAATCAAACAGAAGCATTAATAAAGACTTAAATAATTTTTCTTTTTTTTTTGTATGTACTTGTTTAAATGTGTGTATTTTGTGTAAATGCGTAATTGTAAGCGTGTGTAATTATATAGAAAAAAATTTCTATGCATATATATATATATATATATATATATATATATATATATATATATATATATATATATATATATATATATATATATATATATATATATGCATAGAAAAATGTGTGATTAAGCCCTGAGCTTAATCATACTAAATTTTATGTGTTTCAGTACAATTAAGCTCAGGGCTTTGCACTCCATTATTAAGTTTTTTTGGGCCTCACTAGAGTTTTACTATGCCTTGGGTCATAACATCCTTAGTGATATCATTATACATATTTTTTACCATTATGCCATCTATCAATAGGACTCACACATTTTCAAATGAAGCAACCTCAAAACACAAAGTTTCAACCACTGTGCTTACTGTTGGTATGTATTTTCTATGGCCTTTTTGCCGATAAATAATTTCTAATACCATCAGATCCACAGTACTTTTGACCATTGTTTTTTTGTCCAGTTCAAATGTTTAAAATTTCATGCTTTTTAAATCTTTATAGAAATAAAAGGTTTCTTCACAAGATGTCTTCCGAATAGATTTGCAGACCTAAAATGACACTTAGTTGTGTCAACACTACATTTCGCATTGCAAAATTCTTTTATTTCAGTATTTAGCAAAACAGCAAAATGCTGTTTTGTTAAATACTGAAATACATACATTGACTATCTTATAGCCTGCTGCCACAAAGGAGTGCCATTACATCAAATAAGGGTTTGGCATAAGGAAGTAATCTTTTTTTTCAGGAAGAGGCTGAAAAATTACCATTCAAGATATCAGAAATGCTTTGAATGGTTTGTATACATCTGTGAAACTCCTAAAACACACATACTTGAGAAAATGCAAACAATTTATAAACAATTGTTAGCCTAACAACAAGAAGTCTCACTTATACCATTTTTTATGTATTAAGTCTCACTTTTACCATAATTTATGTTCAAATTCTAGTTAAAAGGCAGAGGTTTAGAAATAGGTAGCTGCAATAAATATTCAAGTTAACAATACAGATTTCTTAGCCCTTTAAAGTTTAATTATTAAGAGCAATAGTTTGTCAAGACTCGATTTCAAGAAAATTCATAAAAAACCTTTAGTTAATGTAAATATATCTAGCGAATTTATACCACATCCTTCAAAGTTTAAACAATCTACATTATACCTGGTTGTATCATAAATATTGTTTTGAAAACATTTTAAACAACAAACATGATTTATATGCTAGCGAGGATGAGCAGTTGGAAATTGAAAGTGGAAAGTGCTATGGTTATAATTTATTTAGAAATTTTTTTTAAGAATCTGCTTCAAGGAATAAACCATGTGTATATTTTGTTTTATAAAGTTGATAATGAAATCTTTTTTTAACAAGTTTGTTCATTTGCTTCTGAGAACTCTTGACTGGATATCTGGATTTTTTTTTTTTTTTTTTCTGTGAAAAAAAAAAATTAAGTAAATGATGTCATCAGCTTGCTCAAAAATTCGATCTCTCAAAAGAATGGTCACACACGCATCTTGAAAATAAGTTTAAAGGCTGTACAAGATTTTAATTGAAAATTAATTATTGAAAAGTTTGAAATATAAAGCTTAAATGGTTTAAATCCTAACTTAAAGTTGAAAAAAACTTTTTTTCTCGTAACAAAGTTCCAAAAATAGAATCTCAAAATGGCTAATTTTACCATTTGATTAGATTATCATTGTCACAGTCTGCAATCATTAAACGTCACTATCTGTAATAATTAAAAATAGATTTTGAAACATTGATTGTAGTATTAAAAAATAGTTTTATCATTTAATTTGTTTTTTTTTAAATATATTTAACCTTTTGTAAACAATACTCGCTTTGCTTTCGTATGCATATGTGAATAACATCTATCAAGGAATCAAGCATTGGTTCAAAAACTAATGTAAAATTTTTTTATTATAAAAGATAAAGTATATGATTGAATTGAGGCTTATCAAATTTTTACCTTTTTTTTTACATCAAATTTAACAATATACTCTACAACACAAGACACGTGTAGTGATATATAATATTTGACAGTTTATTTTAGTGACTTTATTATTTATAGTAATTATTTATAGCATATTCATAGTTATTACCACTTGTTACCATAGTTACCACTTTTTTTTCTTCCTAGTGACATATATACAATAATAAACAAGCTGAGTCCTGTTCTGAAAGTCAAACAATCATCGTGGTTAAAACTGTTTTTATTTTTGAAACTTAGGGTTAAAGCCTTTTAGTCACACTTTTTCCTCAGAGAACCTAAATCGTCTTTAAGATAAAAATAAATAAAAAAATAAATTTATTTTTTTATTTATTCTTGAATTTGATGATTCTAAACCAAAAAGCAATTTTTTATTGCCAAGATGCTAACTTTTATTTTTTTTTAATGACCTCTACCATGCATACATAGTAAGCACACCTAAAGGAGAAGCTTTCTACCATGCATACATAGTAAGCACACCTAAAGGAGAAGCTTTCTACCATGCATACATAGTAAGCACACCTAAAGGAGAAGCTTTCTACCATGCATACATAGTAAGCACACAGGAGAAGCTTTCTACCATGCATACATAGTAAGCACACCTAAAGGAGAAGCTTTCTACCATGCATACATAGTAAGCACACAGGAGAAGCTTTCTACCATGCATACATAGTAAGCACACCTAAAGGAGAAGCTTTCCACCATGCATACATAGTAAGCACACAGGAGAAGCTTTCTACCATGCATACATAGTAAGCACACCTAAAGGAGAAGCTTTCTACCATGCATACATAGTAAGCACACAGGAGAAGCTTTCTACCATGCATACATAGTAAGCACACCTAAAGGAGAAGCTTTCTACCATGCATACATAGTAAGCACACAGGAGAAGCTTTCTACCATGCATAGATAGTAAGCACACAGGAGAAACTTTCTACCATGCATACATAGTAAGCACACAGGAGAAGCTTTCTACCATGCATACATAGTAAGCACACCTAAAGGAGAAGCTTTCTACCATGCATAGATAGTAAGCACACCTAAAGGAGAAGCTTTCTACCATGCATACATAGTAAGCACACAGGAGAAGCTTTCTACCATGCATACATAGTAAGCACACCTAAAGGAGAAGCTTTCTACCATGCATACATAGTAAGCACACAGGAGAAGCTTTCTACCATTCATACATAGTAAGCACACCTAAAGGAGAAGCTTTCTACCATGCATACATAGTAAGCACACAGGAGAAGCTTTCTACCATTCATACATAGTAAGCACACCTAAAGGAGAAGCTTTCTACCATGCATACATAGTAAGCACACAGGAGAAGCTTTCTACCATGCATAGATAGTAAGCACACCTAAAGGAGAAGCTTTCTACCATGCATACATAGTAAGCACACAGGAGAAGCTTTCTACCATGCATACATAGTAAGCACACAGGAGAAGCTTTCTACCATGCATACATAGTAAGCACACCTAAAGGAGAAGCTTTCTACCATGCATACATAGTAAGCACACAGGAGAAGCTTTCTACCATGCATACATAGTAAGCACACAGAAGAAGCTTACAAGAATTTCTTTCGAGAAAAGGAAGAGTTGTTTTTGCTTAGGATATTATTTTATTATTAGAGCTTTTGAAAAAAAATTTAAACATAAACACTTCTGAACAAACTGTAGAATGTAGGCTTTACTCTGTTGGGTGTTATGGGCCCCATGTCACTAAAATTTTCTTTATTTTAGAAAATAATGAAATAAAAACGCCTTACTGTTTTAAAAAACCATTTTTAAAAGCCACCAATATTTTGGAAATTAGATTTATGGTCTTAAAAAAAGTAAATTCGATTTCAAGTGTTCTAAAAAAAACATTATACAAAAAACTATAAAAGCAAATACATAGATGATTATGTATTTTTTGGAGCTGTTTCCCTTATAATATAGATGGTAACTGGGTATGTGAATATTTTACAAAACAATCTTATGTTTTCTGAAAATGTTAATGAATATTGATACCATCAATTAACTCATTAACATGCTAAATATTAATTAAACTAATACTATTATTATTATTAATATTATTTTATTTTAATTATTTTTTAAATTTACCTTGCCTAGGTTCCAGAGAATCACTACAGTTAAAGAGGCCGTCATTTTTATTTCTATTTACTCTTACTAAAAACACAGAAACCTTTTTAAACAATAATAGATAAAGTTAATAAAAACTCTGAGACGCAAAGTTAAACATTAATAGATTAAGTTAGTAAAAAACTCTGGAGCACGAACCTTGTTAATCATTAATAGATGAAGTTAGTAAAAATAAAGAATACTTTTAACCCTAATATTACAGCTTTCATTTTTTTTTTTTTAGAAACAAAATATAGTTTTTTTTAATATTATAGTTTTATATTATTAATAGCAATAAAATGTTGTAGATACTTTTATATAATATGTTAAAATGGCTGACATTTTTATTGATTAAATGTTATTGCATAACATTTCCACAAGTAGTTTATGGGTAGTTTTATCCTATACTTCTATGGAATATCAATTTGTTGATAGGTACAGGTTCATCTACTCATGCTATAGAAAATGAAAATAAAAATAAGAAAAACATTTTTTGAATTTTTTTCCTTCATTTTAATAGACTTTATTTATCTGGCCTGACATATTTTTTCAGTCTGTATATACCTTGTTTTTGTGTAGTAGCTGTTGATTACTTTGTGCCTATTTATTTACATTATCTTTTTTTTACCTAATTTTTTACCTTTTTATTACTGATTGACCTATTTCCCCCCATTCTTTACGTTCATATAATAATGATATATATAATGATAAAAAAAATACACATTCTTCCCTAATTGTTTTGAAGAAAATCAAACATCTGTTTTTTTCTTAAATTGTTTTTTAGTTTATATAACCTATATGACAGCGAAATAAATAGAAGTAATATTAAAAAAATTTGTTTTTAGCTTCTTGGTATGTGTTTTTCTTGTTGCCTGTTTTTTGCTATCGACGATTATTAAGCAGAGTGTTATTTATGAGGGCTACATTATCTTATACAACACTCTCTATTTTTCTTTTACACTGAACGTTAATGTTGTTTCCACCAATCGTATATATTAATTTTGTTTGCACCAATCGTGAACATTGCAACATTGAACATAGATCGTTGAATTGAACATAAATCATGAACGTGAATCGTTAATGTTGTGTGCACTAATTGTATACATTAATTTTGTTTACACTAATCGTAAAAGTTGATGTTATTCGCACTATTTGCATACGTTGATTCTGCTTCTTGTTAATGTTACGATAATCGCAAATATTGTTTATATAAAAATTTTATGTAAATATGAAATTTTATAAAGTTCAAATTTTATCAAATAATCATATATGTATATAGAAGTTATTATTATAAAAGTTTTAAAACCATTTTTTATAAAAACATTGTTTAAATTTTTGTTTATTTATGAAATTTATATATAGTTGTAGTAGGGTTTCCGTTGATAATTTTTAAATGTTTAACGAAATATTGAGTACATTTTAAATATTGTAATTAGTTTATATAGTATTTAAATATTTAATGTTTTTTTTTTAAATATTTGTAATATTTATTTTCAAAATTTGTTATAGTTATTAAATTAAATTTTAATACATAATTATATAAATTTATACTTAATGACCTCTTGAGTTTTATTTTAATGCTTTTATCCTGTTGGAATTATTTGAAATTTTTGTTTCAAGCGTAGATATAGGAATAAAACATTTATATCAAGTTTTTTATATGCCCCTGTTTTTACGTAGGAGGACGCTTCTATCCCGAGGCAATAATTATTCTTATGACTAGGGAGTGACGATGTATCGTTTAACGATGAGTCGATTAATCGTGTTCGATGCACTAAACAACTCATCATGTTCGATATATCGAATGCGAATAGTTGTTCAATGCATCGAACACGGTTAATCGAACAAAAATGTACCTGAACAATTAACGATGTGTTATATAAAAAAATAATATAAAAAATGGCATAAAATTACTTACATCAGTTGTTTTTGATTTATGGTTATGTTTCTTACGATTCTTTTACATTTCACAAGAGAAAAAGTAAATAGGCTGTCTGATGTTATGATAATCGTAAAATTAAATATTTGTCTCGTATTATTAATTGTAAATTGTTAAATTAAATAGAAAGAATGATTAGGGTGGTCCAAATTTTACACATTATTTAAAATGCAGACTCCACAACTCTAAATGCGTTTTTTTAGGGGTAGCTACAGTCTCTTAAAGATCAGGCGGGCCCCTATTATTATCAAGAAAAAACGTTTTTCAAAAGTATATTTTGTTGGGTCTTAAAAGAAGCGAAATTTTATAAAAATTTTAAAAATAGTTATTATTTTGGACCACCCTAATGCATTAATTTGGACCACCCTAATGCATGCAGTGAACAATTTTTTTTTTCCTGTAAATGTTCTTTTCCATTATTGTAGAACAATAGCAAGCAACAATAACCAAAAAAAAATTTTAGTTTTGAAACTAGCTGTTTTGAAAATTTTGTTTGGTGTTGCGGAATAATGTTGCAAAATTTTGATTGTTGCTAACTTGATTGTCGAAAATGTAAAAAAGGAATAATGTCGCAAATTATCGCATTATTGATTGTCGAATAACAAAATAAGGAATAATGTCGCAATTGAATTTAATGAATAGTGTCGAAAATGGCAAAATGAATAATGTTCTAAAAGAGTTTAATAAACAGTAAAAAAAATAGTAACAACTATAAAAGTGTGTTTAAATAATGTCTGAGATCATACCGAAATAGCTTGCTGCTGGATGCTTCAGTACATACACCAACTATCTTATAGCCTGCTGTCGCAAAGGAGTGCCGCTCTATCGACTGAGGGTTTGGGGTTTGGTAGCAATCTTTACTTTCATTCTTTTTTTTTTCTTTTTTTTCTTTCTGTAAAAGCCGTATGCTATAAAGATAAGTAAAATGAGTAAGCAATTGGTGAAACTAACTATTTGTGACACTATTCCGTTTTTACTATTTGCAACATTTTTTTTGTTTCAACATTCCTTTTTTTTGTTTTGGACACTATTCATTAAATTCATTTACAAAAATGTTCCTTTTTTTGCGACATTAAGCCTTTTTAATATATTTGACACTATTCTGTAATTCATTTTTTCGACGCTACTCCTGTCACCCATTTATTTTTAATTGGTTCGATGCGTTGTTTAAGGATCCAGTCCTGCAATGTGTTGTTTAACAACAATGCTTATTCGTTTCATTGTTTAACAATGCGTGTTTCAATGCATCGATGTAAAACGTAAAACAATACATCGCCGCTGCCTACTTATGACAACTTAAATAATATGTACTGTGTACCATAAATCTTTAAAATAACTTATTTTTGCGGTGCAATTAGTAGCAATTAGTAGCATTTAGTAGCAAGTTTTTATTCTGATATTGAAGATCAAAAAAATAGCTAGTTTTTTTTATAACTTTAGTTTTTAGTTTCATAACATTACTACTAAATGTTTATTAATTAAATTCTAAAAATACTAAAATGTAAAGTAAAAAAGAAAAGTATTGGTTCGTAAAACTAAGTTAAGTTTACAACGTGTCAATTGAAGTAGTAGTAGTAGTAGTAGTAGTAGTAGTAGTAGTAGTAGTAGTAGTAGTAGTAGTAGTAGTAGTAGTAGTAGTAGTAGTAGTAGTAGTAGTAGTAGTAGTAGTAGTAGTAGTAGTAGTAGTAGTAGTAGTAGTAGTAGTAGTAGTAGTAGTAGTAGTAAGTTATATCTATATACTCTTGAAAATATTTATAGAGCTATAATTTAGTTGCAATTAAAATACTAAAATACAAATGTGGTTCAAAATAAATGATATGGTTGAGTACTAGTAATAAGAAACTTTCTGGCTTTATTTACTAAAACACAGAATAGTTTTCAAAAATGGCCGTGGCGCAGTGGTTTGAGTGCTTGCTTTAGAAACAAGAGATCCAGGGTTCGAAGCGAGCTCTGTGTATATTTCGAGCCATCGGAAATAGACTTTCTAGTTAAATGCTCTTCTGAGGTCAGTGGTCTTCTAAGGTGCTCTGTGACAAGACCGCTGGACCTCTTCTAAGTAGCTAAAACAAAAATTCTAAAAAAATTAAAACATTTTAAAATGAAATTTATAAATTGATGAACTAAAATTCATTTATTATCGTCTCTTTGCGAAAAACTATCTATCTATCTATATATATATATACATATATATATATATATATATATATATATATATATATATATATATATATATATATATATATATATATATATATATATATATATATATATATATATATATATATATATATATATATATATATATATATATATATATACAGCATGTAAAATAACGGCCGGTCAACGGTCAATGACCGCCCAAAATGAGTAAAATTGCTATTTTGACCTCCCAAAATAAATTCTTGCCGGTCATGGTTGACCTGTTAAAAAATAATGAGAGTTTTGAAAAAACAAGATTTGAAAAATAATCAGATTATTATTTGGAAAAAACATGTACTAATTTATCATATAATCACTAAAATTTTGAAAAAGTTTATCAAATTATCAAACTTCCGTTAAGAAGTAAAATGAAAATCTGCGCGCTTAATTTTAAACTATTAACATTGGCGTAAAATTTTAATGTTATTTACAAGTTTAAAAAAGGAATACTAATTCGTTAATTATCAAATAATAAGTTATTTTTGTATTTATAAAGTTAAGTCATGAAGAACTATTAGGAAAATTAAAATGAAAACAAATAATATAATAAAGAATATATATATATATATATATATATATATATATATATATATATATATATATATATATATATATATATATATATATATATATATATATATATATATACATATATATATATATATATATATATATATATATATATATATATATATATATATATATATATATATATATATATATATATATATATATATATATATATATATATATATACATATATATATATATATATATATATATATATATATATATATATATATATATATATATATATATATATATATATATATATATATATATATATATATATATATATATATATATATGTTGCCTTGGTAAAACAACATCATTTAATGCTGCAAATCTAAAAGTATTTTTTGATAAACTTGGTAAAGTTATGGATATATACAAATTCAGTGCTTCACAAATATGGAACGTTGACGAAACTTGTGTATCAGTTTTTGACGAAACTAGTGTATACAGTTTTAAAACCTAGTAAAATTGTGGCTGCAAAGGGCAAGAGAATTGTTGGTGCTATGAAATCTGGGGGAAAAGGTACTAATGTCACAATGGTAACCGCTGTATCTGCCTCAGGAAATACAGTACCTCCAATGTTTGTGTTCCCTCGCAAAAATTACAAAGATTATTTTGGTTATAATGGTCCACCGGACTGTAATGGGGTAGATAATGGAAGTGGCTGGGTTACAGATATTAAATTCAAAAATTTTATGCAGCATTTGATTAGACATGTGAAGCCTTCAAATGAATATAAAATTCTGTTGATTTTGGACAATCACTCTTCTCACTTGCATTTTGAAACACTAAACTTAGCAAAGGAGAATAGGATAGTCATTTTTTCTTTTCCACCACACTCCAGCCATAAGCTGCAGCCACTAGATGTATCAGTGTTTGGACCTTTAAAAAAGTACCTATCAGTTGCACAGGATGCATGCTGAGAAACAATCCTGGAAAAGCCATAACAGTTTATGATATACCAAAGACTGTATCTGACTCATTGTCATTAGCTATAACGTGTACTAACATTACAAAGGGTTTTCAAAAAACTGTTGTATACCTGTACAATGCAAACATATTTGCTGCTGATGATTTTTTACCATTTGTCACAGATCGGATAGAACCAGAAAATCTCATTTCTGAGCTATGACACGTAGCTCATTCTGAAGTATATTTAACATCATCTTCAGGTCAATCTGTCAAAAGTAATTATAAAGCGACAACGGTACTTATTCCTCAAACTCCTAAAGCATTTTCTCCAGAACCTGTGCAACCTTACCCAAAAGCAGCACCAAGAAAGAAACATTTGACAAGACGAAGAAAAAGGAAAGCTAACAGATACTCCAGGAAAAATTATATTAAAACAGCATCAAACTAAGAAACTTAAAAAAGTCGAGAAACAAAAAATGTTATCTTCTTGTCAATTCCTTTCAAATATTAATAAAGAGTGGGTAATAAAGAGACTCAGTTACATAGTATATTTAAAAAAGTTAAGAAACAAACAAGCAAAAAAACTGAGAAGAAAGAAATTTTAAAGAAACCAAAAAAAGTTTTGCCAGTCAATCCTTTGCAGATCATGGTAATAAGGAGACTCTGCTGCTTAGTATATAAAAAAAAGTTAAAAAACAATCAAACAAGAAAACTAAGATGACAAAAAATTGAAGACAAGTGCAGAACATGATTATGCTTGTCTTGTATGTTGGGAAACTTTCTAATAGTGAAAAAATTGTTATTCCGATGTACCGTTCAAGAGATCTGTTAGATTTAGTAAAAATTGCCCGAATAGCCCCGCCCTACCCTACTCTTAAAGTTATTAAAAGCTAAACTTTATTAAAGTTATTAAAAGCTAAGCTACTCTAAAAGTTATTAAAAGCTAAATAAGGTAAAATAAATAATTATTATTGTATGACAAGAAATAAATGGGTTTTTATCGAATTATCAGTTATAAATAATATAACATTTTTACAAAATAGTAATCTTATTTGCACAAATGTTTTTAGCAATCAATATGAAGGGTGTTCATAGGTAGGTAAATTGTATATAATAAGTGTCCCCACTGTAAATTAATATACATTAACTTTATAATAAAATACTGGTAAATATTTATAATAAAATAATACAGTGTTATTAATACTGTAAAAACAATGGTCTAGGGTTAGATAATATTTAAAATTGCGTCAAAAGGATGAAAACTTAGACGTCGTAATTAGTTATTTGTTCAAACCTCCTTTTCACGGACTGTAAGGGAGACCGGGGCTAGTTGGCAGCAGGGATAAGTTGACGAATTGCGTTTATCTGCAAAGTCTTTTATCAAAAAGTGCCAATAATTTCAGGAAACCTTCTTAGTTGACCATTTCATCTTTCACTGTAGTATTGTGGGGATTTGCGCATGCGCATAAAAGATATTGTGATTTATGTGTTTTTTCCACATTTTTGTAACTTTTACAACTTCTTTATTTTTTCGATTTTTAAAAGCAATTTCATCAAGTACACGTAAACTTGATTTGAGTTATATCTTGCATGGTTCAGTAAAATCTGTTTTTTTTTTTTTAAATCGATTAGATAGATAGATCACATATATTACATGCGAAACTATAAAAGAAAAACAAAGAGGGCTATAACTCCTCAAAATGTTATAAAAAATGCTGTTGATGCTGTTTTATTAAAAGGAAAATCTATACGAAAAACAGCCAAAGACTTTAATACCCCTGAAAAAAGTTTGTCCCGATACTGCAAAAAGCAACAACGTCATGGTCAGCAAATATCAGGTTACATAAAATCTAGACAGGTCAGTATATATATACAGTGGCGGCCGGTGACAATAAACTTTGGTGGGGCCAGGAAAAATTAAATGAAAAATATCTCAATGACTCGCTGTCTACGTAATTGATGCTTTGATCTTAGTTAAAAAGTGTTTGGTAGGTAGCTTTTTTTGATTAGTTGAGAGAGTTAAGTGCTAGCATACTCCTTAAATAAAGCATAATTATTTAATGGCATTGAATCTTTTAACCCTACGTAAAAACCAGCAAAAATTTACTGAAAACTTATAGTGCTGCATTATGATTTGAACATATTTTAGTATTATTTCTGTTTAACTTTTTTTTAATTTTGATTTTTAAGGAAGAAACTTTTAGTGAGTTAAAAGTACGTCATAAATATAAAAAAATTACGGTGAACACAAAAGTATATCTTTAAATAAAGAATGGTGTTAAAAACAAAAATTTAAGCATATTCATTTATACAAACATTCAGCTCTTCTCTGTTTCATTAGAGAAAACATTTTAATTACTTTTTGATTAAACTGATGAATATCCTGTAAATAATCTTTATGTATTGATAGTACAGCTAATGCATTCAACCGATCTTGACCTGTGGAGTTCCTCAAAAGTGTCTTAATTCGTTTTAAAGTACTAAAACACCGCTCAGCATCAGCTGTAGAGACAGGTGTGACCAAAATAATCTTTATCAACTTTGGTACTTCAGATCATAGATCATAGATGAGTATTTGACTTTATGAAAATCCTAGAAATTTTTTACTATGAAAATCCCGGAAAATTATTTTATTAAAAATTTATCGTATTAACTGACAACAAAAACTTTCGTAAACTTTTAAAACGGAATTTAGGTTATTTAACTTATTACAAAAAGGAATTTTTCATATTCGATAAGGATAACTTGAAAGAATTAAAAAGCAAAAAAAAAAAAAGAAAAAAAATTGTTACGAAAATTTATCTCGTGAAAAATTTAATTATAGAAAACATATTTGTTTAAATGCAAAAGTTGTCGTATTTAAAATTTTATGTAAAAATATGAAAAATTTTTTTCAAATTAATAACAAAAAACATCCGGAAATTTCTGGAAAATTAAAGGAGATTTAATGGAATTTCCGGAATTCCGGGAATTCCTGGAAAAAACTCATCTATGATGTATATATATATATATATATATATATATATATATATATATATATATATATATATATATATATATATATATATATATATATATATATATATATATATATATATATATATATATATATATATATATATATATGTTAGGTACGTGTGTAAAAATATTATTAAAGATAATTATATTAGAGATTTTTGAAAATATTACAAAATTGAAAATTTTGTGTGAATTGGATGATTCTACATAAAGTTATGAACATAATAGTGACAAAACTTGATTACGAGGACTTCTTAATAAAACTGTGACCAATTTATAAAGCTTTTGTAACTTAAACTACCCTAAGATTGCCAATTTTTTTCTGTATGCCTATAACTTGGTATAAAAAGATTGGTGTTTAAATAATCTACAAATTTTTAATTGTATCTAACTACCTGGCGTAATAAGGGGGACAGAGGGAACCAAACCACCTTTTCCATCATCATAAAATATGTATTTTTTCCTAAAAAGATTTTTTTTTTTTTTTTGAAATTTTTACAAAGTTTTATTACTTTATGGAATAAAGTAGTAAGACCTTTGTGTATGTTAAGAGCTTTGTGTATGAACTAATCGGAGTTTCAAAAATTATCACGTGATATATATATATATATATATATATATATATATATATATATATATATATATATATATATATATATATATATATATATATATATATATATATATATATATACTCACAGAGAATTGCATAACCTATATAATCTTTTATTTTATTTTTAAAAAATATTGTTTTTATCCGGAATTAGGTGTTTATGTCCCTATTCCGGATGCGTATAAATTACAGAAAAACACATACACAAATAATACTAACATTAAAATAATTATTTTAATCCATTAAAAAAATGAAATTGTTTAATAAAAAAAGAATATATATTATTTTATACACATTCGTTACAAATAAATTCCATGGTTGGACGATAATCAGACACATTCAATGCATGACCAATTTGAACACTGCTCACACGCAAACCATTAGTTATCTAAGTTATTTGTCCAATTAATTTCGCAAGAATAACATAGAAGATCATCAGATACTAAAATATTATTTGAAGCTTGAGGAAAATGAGGCTCTTCTAATTGATTCTTTGTCTTGATACCTTTTTTACCTGGTATTTTAGACGACTGACTTTGTCTCAACTTTTTTTTTTCTTCTCTTTTCTGTGCATTTTTCGCTTTTTGAGTAGCAGTGGAAATCTTTTTTTGTTCTCTAGTAAATTTCTTTGCAGCTTGTTCATCTAATTTTTGTTTTTTTTTGATGCTTGTTCAGCTTCATCGTAAGCTATGGCATCCGCCAAAGTCATATTATAATTAGCTGGTCGCTTTATTCTCTCACTTTTTTGAACTCTTTTATTTAGAGTTAGTGTCAATTGATCTCAAAGCATATTTAACACTGATTTGTTTATATCTTTGCCCACTTTTTGAACAGCATTATTCAAAGTAGCAAAGCTTTTAAGCAAAAATTCACGATTTGACATTCTTGACGGTGTGTTAGGTGTATTGGTAGCATTTGCATAACTAATGGACTAGATACTGTTGAAGAATCAAATAAATTTTCAATACTGTTGTTTTCGACAGCTTGAAACACAGCACCAATGGAAGTTTATTTAGAAGAATTTGCGAACGATCGAGTGGAAATATACCAGTATTTTTGAAACCACTCCGAGCATTTTCAGGTTTAAACCCACCATTTTGGATGAGATCCTTAAATATGGCCGGAAAATGTCAATTAGTCAGGCTTTGAAAGTGATTTTTATTCAAGTAACTTTCAACAATTCTCTTCCATGCGCCTTTTACTGTTTTTAAAACGCTAACATCTAGTGGGTGTAAAAAATGGCTGGTATGAGCCGGCAAACGCCAAAGTAAAATATAATTTTCTAAAGCTTTTTTTTTTCAACTCTAAGCTCATATGTGAAGCATGGACATCAAGTATTAGAACTTTAAATCCTGAAAGTTTGTTTGCGTGAGGCAAAAA